GCTATATCAGAAACACTATTGCTACAACACATGCCTGACATTTTCCTGCCTATGTTTTCTTCCAGGATTTTTATGGTTTCAAGTCTAACATTTGTCTTTAATCCATTTTGAGTTTATTCTTGTGTATGGTGTAAAAAGGTGGTCTAGTTTGCCCTGGCTGGTGTGGCTCAGTGGACTGAGTGCCAGCCTGCAAACCAAAGGGTCACCGGTTTAATTCCCAGTCAGGGCACATGCCTGGGTTGAGAGCCAAGTGCCCAGTAGGAGATGCGCAAGGGGCAACCGCACATTGATGTTTCTCTCCCTCTCTTTCTCATTTCCCCTCTCTAAAAAGAAATAAAATATTTTTTTAAAAAAGGTGGTCTAGTTTCATTTTTTGCACATCTGTCTAATTTTCCCAGTACCATTTACTCAATAGACTATCCCATCGTATGTTTTTGCCTCCTTTGTCAAATATTAATTGACTATAAAGGTGTGGGTTTATTTCTGGGCTTTCTATTCTTTTCTATTGATCTATTTGCCTGTTTTTATGCTAGTACCACATTGTTTTGATTACGATGGCTTTGTAGTATAATTTGATATCAAGTAATATGATTCCTCTAACTTTGTTCTTTCTTGAGATTGCTGAGGCTATTTGGGGTCTTTTATGGTTCCACATTCATTTTTGGAATATCCTAGTTTTGTGAAATATGCTATTGGTATGTTCACAGGGATTGTATTGAATATATAGATTGCTTTGGGTAGTATGGACATTTTAATGTTAATTCTTTCTATCCATGAGCACAGTATATGCTTCCACTTTGTCTACCTTCTTCAATTTCTTTCCTCAGTCTCTTATACTTTTCAGAGTACAGATCTTTTACATCCTTGGTTAATTTATTCCTGGGTATTTTCTTCTTTTTGAAGCAATTGTGAATAGAACTGTTTTCTTAGTTTGCCTTTCTGATAGTTCATTACTAGTGTTTAATGAAAAAACAACCCACTGAATGGGAGAACATATTCTCCAATGATACATCTGATAGGGGTTAATGTAAAAAAACTTTAAAGAACTTGTAAAACTCAACACCAAATAACAAACAATCCAATTAAAAAATGGGCAGAGAACCTGAAAATACACTTCTCTAAAAGCAACATACAGATGGCCAGTAAAACAAAGGAAAAGATGCTCAATGTCACTAGTCATCAGAGAGATGCAAATTAAAATCACAATGAGATATCACCATACACCTGTCAGAATGTCTATCATCAACAAATCAACAAACAAGTGCTGGAGAGAATATGGAGAAACAGGAACCCTGGTGCACAATCACCAAGATTTGGAAGCAGTCCAAGTACCCATCTGTATTAGAGTGAATAAAGCAGCTGTGATATACCTACACAGTGGAATCCGATGCAGTAGAAAAAAAAAAAAGGAACCCTTTGCGATAGCATGGATGGACCTGGAGGGCATTATGCTGAAATAAACTAGTTATATAAAAACAAGTACCATATGATTTTGTTCACCTAATGGACAAAATGAATAAAAGCAAAATGGAGACAGACCCATAGACAGAGAGCAGGCTGCATGTTGGGGGCAAGGAGAGAGGTTGAGGGGCTGCGAGTGTGGAGGGATTGAGATAAAAGAAAACAGAGAAAACTCATGGACACAGACAGCGGTGTGGTGACTGCCAGGGAGAGAGGGTGGGAGGAGGCAGGAGAGGATAAATGGTGATGGAAAGAGACTTGACTTAAGGTGGTGAACACATAACACAGAGTACAAATGTGTTGTATAAATGTGCACCTAAAACCTGTATAATTTTGCTAACCAAAGTCACCCCATAAACTCAATAAGAAAGAAAAAAAGAAAAGACTTTTTTTCCAGGACTATGAATTAGGACAAGTTTCAATATCAAGGAACAGAGAATAGGGGGAAATGGCCAGGATGCCAGTCACTTGAGATAAAATGTATTCTATCATTTCTTTAAAAAACAAAATGACTTGAGTTTCTTAAGATAGTTTCAGAGCCAGCAGGGAACCACGCACTCTTTTCTGCCCTAGAGTTACTGCAGGAAAGTCCCTCAGAGTCGCTAGCACAGGAGCCTGTGGAACATGCTCCACTGGGTTGGCAGGCAGGGGTGGGAGGTTGGGGTGGGGCAGCGCCCAAGGCCCCAGGGAAGCAGTGGGGTCACCTCCCACCCCACCTTGGCGAGGCTGCCTCTGAAGTTAAATGCTTCTCTTCACACCAGCCCACCCATTGTCTTCATTTTCCAGTGAATAGACTTTAATTGAACTGAATGTATCACCTCAGTTTTTCTTCTAATTTTTGTGTTTATTGTTTCTAAAGATATTAGACACAACAGGCAGACTACAAGCCCTAATATAATCAGACAGAAAGTTCACATCTATGACCTAAAACCTTCCCTGAAGCCCATACTGTGCACCCTCTTTACCGGGAGGGAAGGGTCCCTGCAGCTCTCAGTGCAGGGCCCAGAGTTCCCATGACGCCCTCCCCGCAGCCGCAGGGTGGGGGCTGCTGCACCTGCCTGCAGCAGCCAAGACAGCAGACCCATGACAGCTCCTTATCTAGCTCTTTTGGTGAAAGAGGGAGGCGGGGTGAAGAAAAACCAAGTGCAGGACGAGACGGAGGAGTGGAGGTTCAGAAGTCACTAAGAAAATGGCCATGAAACCGAGATGCCCTCAGAGGAAGTCAGATGTGGTTTTATTTTGTCATCTCTAAATGCTGCATCCAATATGTGGCAGCAGCACACACTGTAACAGAGAGCCACAGTTCCGAGGCAGGGACACCCACACACCACCAAGCACGACCCTGCGCCAAGCACGACCCTGCGCCCCCCCGACGCCCCCATCCGGAAATCAGGCGTGCAGGTTCTCCGCACCAACTGCCATGGAAGACCTGCTTCACAAAATGACTCGTCCAGCATTTGTAGCGGGGGAAAAAAAAAAGCTGAATTGGGGGTGCTCTTGCATCGTTTGCTCCCCCCAAATTGAACTCATTTCTCCTCATGATTGGGCTTCACTACGCGGCGCAACCTCGCCTCTAACAGGACACGTGATTGACGTCTAGACGATCATCTCTCCCGGAAGCCAAGTTCCCCGGCAGAAGGGGGCCAGTCCCAGGAGAAAGCCCCGCCCCTTGACCCTCCCCGCCCCGTCCCCCTGCTCTGGTCCCCACTTCCTCCCCGGAGCGCCCAGTGCAGAGCCCTGACTCATCAGCCCTCACACACTGTTGACTGCAGGCTGGCCACGCACAGAGCGCTCACCCGGCCGCGGCAGGGTTCTCTGTGGACGGGCACTCTTGGATGCCCGGCAGCCTTCAGAACTAACAGTTGAGCCCCCACACCTCCCTTCTGAAAGCCGCTCCGTGCTCACCCTCAGCGGGCACCCTGGGGCCCAGAGGAGCCCTCTCAACCACAGCACAGCGGTGATGGGGAGCGCTGGGGAGCGAGGGAGTCCCAGACTCCTACAGCCTGAGCCGATGCTCTGGTCCCCCTCTCAGGGCGTGCATCGCAGCCTTCCCAGGTCAGGGGTTCTCAGTCCAGAGCTAGGAGGGCTGCGCATTCTGGAAGTGATGGGGAACCTGCCCCACTTGGTAGCTGCAGCTAAACAGCAGCATTTCTGTGTCATTACAAAAACTAAGTTAGAGCAGGAAGAAAACTGACAAATCATGTATATTTAAATTACCCCACAGCAAAGATGAATATTTTTTTCCCCAGATGGAAAGGGCTAAGCCTCGGAAGTCCATGCCTGGGCAGACATACAGAAAACAGGCCCCAAGCATGCAGTCTTCTTGCCCTGGTGCAGTGTGCAGCTGACAAACTGGTCTGTCCAAAGAACAGTGGGCCTCACAGGCCTGAGAGCTGTAAGCTGACTTCAGGGCACTGGGGCAGACAGCATATTCCCCACCCATATTCCAAGATACCAAGTTGGGAAGGCACAACTGCAAAACCTCATTCAACAAATAAACTGCTAAAGAGAAAGGAAAGTCGACAGGGAGAAGCTGTGCACTAAGGCACCTCCCTGGACACAATGCCCGGCCTCATGCTCTGAGTTCAAGTGCACAGCACATTTCCTAGGAGGACAATGGTCCACTGGTGCACTGGCTTCCTGTCAGGTGACTCCAGGGTATTACTTTTTATTTTTTTAAAGTGAGTATGGTGTGATGTTGGTTTTTAAAAACAGTTCTTATCTTTTAAACAGGAACACTGGAATATTTAGAAAATGTCTATTTGCTTCAAAATTATTAAAAAGGGGGGAAAGCCATTGTATTATCCAGCAATAACATAAGAAGACAAACTAAAAGTATTTCTATCAAATATTTAGATTTCAACTCCCTATACACGAAGTGGCAAGTCTCCTCAGAATCCAGTCGAGTACTTTCAGAGAGCAATGACAGAGTAAATGTCCTCAATTGGATGCACACACAGCACACAACCTGATAACACATACACCACACATGTATGCACACACTACATATAACACATTACAGACTCACAGCAGAAATGCATACACGTGCACACTACACACAGCACACACACCCCTACAGACATACAACATACACATGCACTGGCTCAGCAACATGCACACACACATTCATAACATGTATAGACTCAACACACGTATACAAATGTAAAGATTCACAACACACATGTATATGAGTATACCAATAGCACATGTACACAGCACATGCAATAGAGAAGTAGCACACATAGCACTTACACATATACAGAATCACTGCACAGACACACACAGCCCACATGCATGTACATTAGCACATGTGCATACACATACATGACTGTGTGTGTCTGCATGCACAGAGCACAAGGACTAGAGATGGGTACGGCCTTTTCCTCCCTTCTCCTGCTGCAGGATAAAGAGCACACTGGGAGGTGCCCCAGCTGCTCTTGTGGGTGAGAGGCAAGCACAACCCTGGAAGAGTTGTTTCCAGGCAGGAAAGAGAAGGGAGTCACCTGCAAGGGAGGGTGCAACCCCCAAACGCACATTACCTGTCTCAGTTCCTGGGTGTCTTCCTCAGCAATGAGTGGCTCTCTTGTCTGCAGCTGCAGCAGCCCACCTTCTTGGTTCCCAGAGGAGGGCTCTTGTGGCCTGACACAGTCCATTAGCCCGGACGCTACAATGAAGGCAAACAGCAGCTACACCTTCCATAACTTGCACACAATGCAAAAACACTCCTGATTTGACCAAGCTCATGCCCACTCTATGGGCCAACAAAGCTTCCTCACCAGCTTCTCTCCATTTGCAGTCTCTGTACTTGCTGGCCTTTGTCCTGAGGCTCCACTAAGCGGAGCAGCTGTGGGGCCCACCCAAGCCTTGCCCTCCACTCCAGTCCCAGTGGCTTCCTTACCCCACCTTGGTCCCAGGAAACACTGTCAATACCGAGGCTCTGGTTCTATAACTGGCTCTCAGAAGAAAGGCCCCTAACCAAGAGTGGTCATTTTCTTTATGAGAAAAGACTATAGATTTGGAGTTTAAAACAGTGCTGGTTGAACCCCCATGAAACCCACAGGATTCTGCAGGTCTGGAAAGTAGAGGGGATGGCCAGGTAGCTAGCCGAGCACAGGGGACTATGGAGCCAAGAGGACAGCCACTGCTCAGAACAGGTTTCTACTCACACAGCACCTGCCTGGGTAACGTCCCCAAGGGGCAGGAGGACAGCCTGGTCAGAGTGCTAATCAGGTGGCTCACAGCCCCTCCCACAGTGTGCCACCTGTCCTTTATTTAAAGAACTGACTCTACCCACACCCTGGCATGTCAGGTCCAGATAAGAAATCAACTGGAGCCTGCTGCCAGCCCCTCTGCACAGACCACCGCAGGGATGGAGCATGACTACTAATCATGGCACTGGGGAGGACAGCAGGTAGCAGAAGGTGCCCTGATCTGAGACCCAACACCAGCTCCTCTGAGCAGCCTTCTCTGCTCCAGGGAATAGGGAATGTGGGGCACAGCAGGGCCAACAGGTGACCCCAGTGGCAGCCAGCAGAGCTGCCCTTTGTCAGAGTGGCCTGGAGCAGCTGCTAAGGAGAGGAGAGGAGCAAATCTGTTGGGGTAAGGCTCTCACTGGGCCCAAAGGGCTAGAGCCCAGCTGGTGTTTAGGACACACTGACTGTGCCAGCCCCTCCTCACCGGAGGTCAGCCACCCCCAACGTGCACACAAACACCCCCACTATTCCCATTTCTTAAAATAATTCTTACAAATAACACTCCCTGAGAGTGTCTGGCCTCGTTCAGGACGAATGTAGGCTGGAATGAGGACAGGAAGGAGATTTCTCAGGGTCCCAGGAGCAAAAGGGTTATGCCAAGTGGAGTCGGCTCAGGAAGCAAAAGAGGAGCAAGTCTGCTGGAGGCAGGGCCCTGGCCCTCTCTGTGCAGGGGACAAGGGCACCCCACACAGAGTTGCCACATTCACACTGCATCTCCAAGTCTGAAAGAGTCTCACAAGACAAAACATGCATTAAAATGTCTGCAGTTGTAGTCCATTCTTTAGAAAGCACTGGTCGAAACCCCTCTAGTCTAATGTTGTAGCTTGTGTTCTAGACTTGCTAAGGCCCCACCTGCACTGGCACCCCAGGGCTACTAAGGAGCACAGTGTCCAGTCCAGCGTGGTCTGAAGTGCTGCGCACTGGGAGGTCACTTTTCTAAAGTGCACCCGCAGCAGAACACCTTCAGGGCCAGGTCAAAGCTAGCATGGCACAACTGAGGCAGTGTCCTCCTAGTTGTAAGTTAAAGGAGAGGCCACCTGATGTGCGATGTTAAAGCATTATCAGTGATGGCAAAGTGCACGTCACCAGCCTATGAGAACAGCAGTTCTCAGCCCAAGGGGTGAGGAGTACCTCACTCAGCAGAGTGGCCCTATCCACTGCTCCACCCAGCTGCGCCTATCTGGCAGAGGGCTATCTCCCAGTGCTACGAACGGCAGCATGTCCTGCAATCCAGGCCTTTCCACCAGCAGCGACATGGGTATCATTATGTTTGCCCACCTTTTAATGAATTTGCTTGGAACTACCCCTGCTGTTTACTTTTTCAGCCTCTTCCCCTGCCAGGATCTCCTGACTAGCTCCTGTGAGCAGAGGTCCCACCCACACACATTGCGCAGGGCTGTGCTCTGGCACCCGCTTCCATACCCGCAGCTGCACTACTGAGAGAGGCTTACTCTTTGAACATTTAACCAAAGGGTATTGATGAGAAAGCCAAAATGGAGGATGTTTCTTCCTGGAATATACTAAGGCAGAGATGTTTTTCAGGACAAGCTATGGGTTCGGGGGACCCCTCCCAGCCCAAGGCTTTGGCCACCCCTGGTGCTCCATGTTGACAATGGAGTGGCTGACTTAGCTACCTCAACGCCTTGAAATATCTTCTGAGAAAAATTAATTTGGTTCAGTATTAGATGTTTTTTGTCTCTAAAGTCATTAATTATCTCTGTAAACCAAAATAAGCACACATTGTTAAAACTACAAGGGAACTTATAGATGGTTCACTTTCCAGGAAGGAGGAGACATCAAGGGGACCTGGCTGAGCAGTGGAAGCAGCACCAGAAGGCAAATGTGAGGCAAGATTTCCTAACGGTGAGTGAGCAGGTGACCAAGACATCTTAAATCGGGTGGTTGGGGGAGGACTCTCTTAGAAGGTGAGTAAACACCAAAGACAAAAAATTAGTGTCAAAACCCTTGACAGTACCAGGCGTGAATCCCGTTCCAATGGAGATGGGTCAGTGGGCCTCCTCCCAGACCCGCCACCCCAGCACCGGGACACAACCTGGGAGCAAGCTGCTGCTCCTAAAAACCATCAAGGCCACCAAAGCAAGAACAGCTGACCAACTGACAACGTCAGGAAGGGTGCAGGAGACACAATACTGAAGTATCACGTGGGGTCCTGGAAGAGTAAACTGTGAGACAATCTAGATAAAATATAGACTTATGAGAATAGCAACAAATCCATGAAATTCGCTGATTATGACAATGAATGACACTAATGTCAGGTGACAATAAGAGGAGACACGTGAGAACTCTAAACTATCCTTGCAACTTTTTCTGCTAGCCTGACACTATTCTAAAACTTTGAAAATTATTTAAAAGATGCTATGCAGAAAAACAGCAATTTGCAACAGTTCTTCCCTAAGGTGAAAATCTCCCATCTGTGTTGTGCCCAGCCCTCACCTGCCCTCACAACATAGTACCTCAGAGGTCTCTCTGGAAGGTTCTTCTAGGTACCCACCCTGGGCAAACATGGATCTCCTGTTACTAGACTGCCACCTTCTGGCCACATATTTCACCCAAACACCTCATCCAGTAGAGGAAGACATCTCTGAGTTGTCAGTCAACATGCCCACCCTCCGCTGTCCACAGTCTCCAATGTGGACCAGTAAGGCAGAGGTGATGGCAGACATGATGCAGAGGCTATGGTGAGATGCTGGCTCCCTTTGCTAGGGCTTGGAGAGGACACTGAGAAGTTCCCAGCCAGTCAGATACCATCTTGCTTACTGAACTCAGCATGCTGGCTTCTTCCAAACGTATCAACTCCTAGTCACCAGAGCCTCTCCAAACCTACAGCTGTTGATGCATCAACACCATGAGGCAGGGTGGCCTCACTAAGGGAGGATGGCCTGTCCCACTCGGTGCAGGTGCAGATCCCCACAGGGACCCCACCCAGAGGCTAGTTAGCCCCAAGGTGAAAGTCCACGTGTCAGCTCATTCCACAAACATTTGATCCACCACTGAGACAGGCCAGGACACAGTGCTTCAGCCCAACCTTAATCCCCATGTTGTTGTCAAGGTATTGGATAGAGAAGGCCTAGCACTGCTGGCCTGAGGTAAGGGAGACATCCTAGACAGTGTGGTAGACCTGGTGCAATCAGTTGAAAGGCCTTCAAAGCAGATCTGTGGCTTTCCAGAGGAGGAGGAGGTCTGGCCGGGGTCAGCAATCTTAGCCAGCCCTTCTTGAAGCAGACCCTGGGAACTCACCCTCAACCCTCTTCCTCATCTGCCTGTGAATGCAAAGGCCCAGCACTTACTTCCTGCTCCTCCCCAGCCTGTCTGCCACCTGGGCATCAGGATCAGAGTGTGCCATCCACCCTTCCATGGCACCCAGCAGCAAACCCAGCCATTTTGTGTAGCATGACCTTGTGCCATATGTGGCGTGTTTGCATCTGCCACCTCATTCCCTATGTTCTCTTGGAAACCATCATGCATAACTAACTCACAAACATGTGGAAACTGTGAGAAGGAGGGCTGTGGGTTCCCTCCCCCCCAAGACTGTGGGTGCCTGGCACCATGCCTGGCACTACGGGGTTCTCCATCAGCGCTGGTAGAACTAGCGGCTGACAGCACTCTGTGTGTGGTCCCTCGAGCCAGGACCTTGCCCCCCTGCTGAGGCCCCTCCCAGGGGAAAATGCAGTGGGGTGAATCAGTCAAAACTGGGGCATTAGAGCAGCTGGCCAGATGGGTTTATACATGGTCTTGCCTGAAGGGCCCTCTGCTCAGGGTCTTCAGGCAAAGTCACATGCAAGGTCAAGGCCTTTCTGGTCCTTTTATGGGCCAGCTTCTGAGTCTTGCCTTGAGTGAGGGACCAAAGAAAAACCAGAAATGCCAAGAAAGTAAGTTTTTAAATTCAGTTTGTACATTAACATTCTAACATTCTGGATCTTACTAGACTAGATCTGTTATCAGGGTATTTCTTTTTGAAACTTGAAGCCATCTAGAATAATATAAACATATTCTATGTTAGGGAATAGGTTACATATTAGAATTAAAATCAATCACTTCAGAGAAAAAAAAGAAAAGGAACCAGAATAGTAACAAACATCTCTCTTAATTTAACAGACATCCAGGAATGAAAGCTAATAAGGAGAGACTATACCTGTCCAAAAAAATCACAGTAAGTACTAAAGTAATATTACCTATAATTCTAGTATTAGAAAACAGTATTTTATGACTTTGAGATTTCTTAAACAGGGCTCAAAAACAAAGTTAAAGGGGAAAATGGTGGGCCTGACCACAGCAAAAGTACCGATTTCTGCAATGGAGGCTGACGGTCCGGGAGAGCACTGGCCTCTCAGGTCAATACAGGATGAGTATCTAGAACAGGTAAGGAACTCCTGCAAATCAGATAAACAACAAATGGGAAAAGAACCCAAAGAACCTGAACAGTCAATCCACAGAGAAAAAACCTGCAGGGCTAAAAAGCAAATAAGCATTCGATGCTCTGTCTCACAATCAATTAAAGAAATTGAAATAAAAATACCATCAAGATGCCACAGAACACCTGTCAGAATGGCAAAACTGGGAAGTCAGACAACATCAAATTATCCTATGCTAGAGAGGAGGCTGGAACCCAAGAACCTTGAGATGTGTGGACATGTGACATATCCACATGTCTTGCCTCCCACTGAACCCCACTGGCCACCCCAGCTATACCCTCCACATCCCACAGAACTGCAAGTGGACACCGCGGGCACACTGCCAGGGGAAGTCAGGCTTTCTGAGTTCCTCACAGATGCCACTTGAAGCACACAAGACACTGCAGTTTGCATAGATTCCCCACCTAAACACACACCTGGAAGGTGGTCTGGGAAGACCTCAATCAAAGGTGAAGGCAAACAGGAGTGAGGCTGAGTCAGGGTTGGGGGAATGGAGACAAAACAGGGCAGGTAGGGCTGGTGCCAATTAAGATCCTGAAGTACTGGTTCTCAACACAGATGGAGGAGAGTGAAAACTCCTAACTCAGACTTTCCCTTTGTTCTGAAAGGATCACCCAAACCCTTTCAGACCTATTTGGAAAATGAAATGACTTGAGATTCACAGTTGGCAAGTACTAAGGAAAATGGCCTGAAGTTATTTTGATTTGCAAACAAGTGGGAAGTTGCTGGGGGGCTGGAACCAGCAGCTGCTCCCAGGGAAGCACCAGGTTAAGGGTGCACCAGGGCAGGCTGGGTATGTCTGGGCTGCCAGAGGTCTGGGCACAGACTGTGCTCATGCTCACTCACCTGCCTGCCAGACTGAGTGGCCCTTCTCTGCTGTGGAAGAGGCTCCAGGGCTTCTGAGCATCATGGCATCTTCTAAAAACTCGATCTTTTTGCTGAACTGCATTTCCAAAACAGGGATCACCTCTGGCATCCTGGCAGATATCAAATGAAAAACTATGTCTGGCTTCCCGATGAACCTCTGGCGGATGCTAACTTTATAACGTGTGTGAACCTTAATGTCATCTACATCTTCTCTCTCAAATCTGTGTATAAGCGAAGAATTTGAGTCATGGATTTCTAATCCAGAAACAAGGATGGTGAGCCTTCCTGGTTTAACATGAGATTCTGTTTTCTGGGAAATAACAACAGGTATTCTGATCACTATCCCTTCCTTTCCAAGAGCTTTGGAACTAGCTGTTGAGGAGCCTTCTCTGAGCTCTGTGTCAGACGGCACCTTCCAAAACTTGAAGCTAAAGGGCCACCAAGAAGGAGATTCCAGTTCTGTCAGCAACCTGCAAGATCAAACAAAACACAAAACACTGGGTCAGTCAAATTGTAATAACCTTTTTAAAATGTGGCTTTTATATTAGAAAACATTTTACTATTTTACAGTTTTCTTTTGCACAAGTTCTCCATGAAGCAGAAAGAGAAGGAAGGATTATCCCATGGTTTGGGAAAGACACCTAAGGCTAAAAGCAGTAGGGCATCTGCCCACACACACAAACCTAGTAATGCGGTGGACACACAACAGAAATTCGCATCTTCTGACTAGAATGTCACTCTTACCACACTTGACTCTGGCTAATTCTGACTCAAAATAAATCCTGATCTTAATCTCTAGAGAGCAAATATAACTTTTGGCAGTCATCTGTACTGTCTAATATGGCACATATGGCTGCTGGACACCTGAAATGTGACTGATGTAATAAGAAACTGAACAGCATAGCTTTAAAGTAACCACTAATAATACCATCAGATATATCTAAAAGTCAATAAAAGAGGGGAAAAGTAGAAGCAGGGTTGGAAAAATAAAGGAATAAGGATCAAACAAAATAAACAGAAAATAAAGAAATAAGATGATAGAATTAAATACAACCATATTAGTAATCACATTAAATAAAAATGGACTAAATTCTCTAGTTAAAAAGCAGCTAATAAACCAGAGTAAAGTAAGACTCAGCTATATCTTGTTTACAAGAGACACTGAGAATTATAAGGATACAGATACATCAAAAGCAAATGGACTGGAAAGAAGGCATGTCATGCCAAAAGTAAACTTTAAGACAAGTGTTACCAGGAATAAAGAGGACCATGCATAAAGGCTTAACAACACTAACTAGGTATGTACCTAACAACAGAACTTCAAAATTCACCAAGCAGAAATGGATATAACTAAAAAAGGAGAACAATCACAGCTGTACATTTTAACAAATTTCTCTCTACGGTTGATACAGCAAGACGACCCAAATAATGAGAAAGAATACAGAAACTTTGAGCAACACTATTTAACTCACTCAATCTGACTGGTATTTATAGAAACAGTATCCAACTGCTGACTGCATTCTTTTCAAGTGTATTCAGAACATTAAAAAAATATACATATATATATAAAACGAGCCTCAACAAATTTCAAGTATTGAGATCAAACACAGTATATTCTTTGTCCCCAAAGAAATGAAACTAGAAGTCAATAACAAAGCTAACTAGAAAATTCTCAAATATTTGGAAATTAAACAATTCTAAATAAAGGATATCAAAATACATGAAGTGAATGAAACTGAATACATAATACACAAAAAATGATGGACTACAAATAGAGCAGTCATGAGGGAAATTTACTGCTCTCAACGCATGTATCTGAAAACTTTTTGGAAAGGTTTAAAAAGTCAGTGATCTAAGTTTCTATCTTAAAATGTTATAAATTAAACCCAAAGTAGAAGGTAAAGCAGAAATCAATAAAGTTGAACATAAAAAATAAAAAATATTAACAAAGCCACATGTCGGTTCTTCAGGCTATGTTTCTTGCCCTGGCTGGTGTGGCTCAGTGGACTGAGTGCCGGCCTGGGAACCAAAGGGTTGCCAATTCGATTCCCGTCAGGGCACATGCCTGGGTTGCGGGCCAAGTCCCCAGTACGGGGCACGTGAGAGGTAACCACACTTTGCTGTTTCTCTCCTTCTCTTTCTCCCTCCCTTTCCCTAAAAATAAATAAATACAATCTTTAAAAAAAAAATAAAAAGAGCTGGCAATAGAAGGGGAAAAAATATGGCCTAGGTGGCTTCACTGATAAATTCTGTAAACACATAAAAAAAATAACAAGTGTACACCAACTCTTTCAAGATTAGAGCCAAGAGTACTGTAAATGCTTTGACCATTCAGTTCACAGACCACTCTAACTCCTATTCCAAAACCTAATAAGGACATTATAAGAAAATTAAGAACATGGCAATATCCTTCAGTAACACAGATGCAGAACTCCTTATTAAAATACTAATAAATCAAATCTAACAATACAGCGGCACCTCAGTACTTGTCGTTAATTCATTCCAGAACTCATGGTGAGTGCCAAATCCAACAAGTACTGAATGACAAAGCATTTTCTCTTGAAGGGCAGCGTCATGATTCACACAAGTTCTAGCAAGTGCAGTGAGTCCCGAGCAAGCATCAAGTGCTGAAAATACCTTTTTCTCATCAAAATGTAACAAGAACAGGGTTTGACGAGTTCTGAAGCTGACAAGTACCGAGGCATGACTGTATATAGAAATTATTATATCATGCTTAAGTGGTATTGATCCCAGGAGACTGCGGTTGGTTTAACATTTGAAAATTAATGAATGTATCTCACTGGTAGAAAAACAAAAGAAAAACTGTAGGAGTGTCACAAAAGATGTAGAAAAAGAATCAGACAAAATTCAACATTCACTCCTGTTAAAACTTCCAGCAAGCTGGAAACAGAAGGAAATTTCCTCAATCTGAGAAAAGACCTACCTTATAAAAAAAACCTTGTAAGTAACTGCATCCCTAAGGTTGAAAACGACAATGTCTCCTATCTAAGATCAGAAACAAAGTTTCAAAAAAAGGTGGGGGCAGATTTTGAAACTACATGACTTTTGAAAGTATTCCGGAAGTCCCACACAGACCCGAGGAAGAGTCTTCTCAGCACGGGGTGTTTCAGTACAACCTCTGGCTAATCGACAGCTGACCGCTCAGCTACACTGATGCAGGAAGAGCCCATAGGAACCAAGCCAAGCTTAAAAATTAAAAGAATTACAAACAAAAACAAAAAAGCTGAGCAGATGACAAATGTTACACACACAGTAGAGATACACTCTGCCAAATTAGTCTGGGCAGCTTCCAAAAAACGAACAAACAAAAACTATCATCAACAGCACCACACTGTAGTGAGAACAGACATCAGAATCCAGAATTGCAACTATATTTTTTTAAATGCCAAGTTTTCTAACAAAAAAGTAAGATATACAAGGAATCAAAATGTGACCTATACACAGGGAAAAAAAACAAAACTAAACTAAACAATCAATAGAATCCATTTCTGAAAGCATTCAGATACTGGAATTAACACATAAAGACTTCAAAGAAGTATTGTAAATGTTCAAAGAATCAAAGGAAACCGAATTTAAAAGGTTAAAGAAAAGCATAATGATGATGATTCATCAAATAGAGGCCATCCATAGACAGAAATTATATATGTAAAAAATCAAACGGAAACCCTCAAATTAAAAAGTTACAATAACCCAACAAAAAAAGTTCCGGAGCAGACAGCTTTACTGGTGAATTCTAACAAACATTTAAAGAAAAATTAAAACCAATTATTATCAAAATTTACAAAAATTACAAGAAAAGGAGGCACTTCCAAACACATTTTTTAGGCCAGCATTACCCTGATACTAAAACAGGACAAGGACACCATAGGAAAAGAAATGTATAAACAAATATTCCACAGGAGCAAAGATGCAAAAACCTCAGCAAAATATTAGCAAACCAAATTCAACAGTATGTTAAAAGGATCACATACCATGACCAAGTCAGACCTATTCCAGGATGCAAGGATAGTTTGACACTTAAAAACCAAGCATGTGATATACCATTTTAACAAAATTAAGGATAAAAATCATATGACCATCTCGATAGATGCAGAAAAGCATTTGACAAAATTCAACATTCATTCATTCATGACAAACTCCCAACACAGCGGACATAGGGGGAACATACTTCACCATAATGAAGGCCATACATGACAAACCCACAGCTAAGATCATAGGCAACTGTGAAAAGCTGAAAGCTTTTCCTCTAAGATCAGGAATGAGACAGGTATGAGGTATGAGATATACATGGAAACCACTTTTATTCAACATAGTGTTGGAAGTCCTAGCCAGCCACAGCAATCAGACAAGAAAAAGAAATAAAGAGCCCCGGATAGTGTAGCTCAGTGGATTGAGCAAGGGCTACAAACCAAAGGATCGCTGGTTTGATTCCCTGTCAGGGTACATGCCTGGGTTTCGGGCCAGGTCCCCAATAGGGGGCACGTGAGAGGCAACCACACATTGATGTCTCTCGCCCTCTCTTTCTCCTTCCCTTCCCTGTCTCCAAGAATAAATAAAATCTTAAAAAAAAAAAAAAGGGAAAGAAATAAAGAACATCTAGCCCAGGCCAGTGTGGCTCAGTTGGTTGGAGAATCATCCTGTAAACTGAAAGGCTCAAGGTTTAATCCCTGGTTGGGGCACATGCAGGAGGCAACCAATTGATGTTTCTCTCTCTCTTTCTCTCTAAAAGCAGTGAAAAAATGTCCTCAGGTGGGGGTGGGGGGAGAAATAAAGAACATCCAAATTGGAAAAGGAAGAAGTAAAATTGTCTCTATTTGCAGGTGAGATGATTATTATATATAGAACCGTAAAAACTTTACCCAAAAACTGCTAGAATAAGCAATTTCAGTAAAGTTGCAAGATACAAAATTAATATATAAAAGCCAGTTGCTTCTGCATGCTAATAAGAAGCTATCAGAAAAAAATTAAGAAAATCCCATTTACAATGGAATCAAAATGAATAAAATAAGAATAAATTTAAACAAAGAAGTGAAAGACTTGTACACTGAAAACCATGAGACATTGAAGAAAGAAATTGAGGACACAAATAAATGCAAAGAATACAGTAGTCCCCCCTTATGCACAGTTTCCTTTTTTCAGTTTGTTACCCATGGTCAACTGGCAATCAGAAAATACTAAATGAAAAATTCCAGAAATAAAAAAATCCATAAATTTTAAATTGCGCTCCATTCTGAGTAGTGTCATGAAATCCCAAGCCACCTTCATACAGGGATGTCATCCCTTTATCCAGCATACCCACACTGCACTTGCTACCTGCCTGCCAGTCAGCCTCTGTCTCGATTTTCAGATTGACTGGTGTGGTATTGCAGTGCCTGTGTTCCAGTCACCCTTATTTTACTCAAAACTGGCCCAAAAGCAAAGGAGCAGTAATGCTGACAATTTGGATATG